ACGTCACCACATCCTTGGATGGTGCCGTATTTTCATCACTCTTGCCCGTTATTTGACGTGCAGGGCCCGTCGTCTCATTTGGCAGCTGGGCTTGGACGTCCTCTTCAATAGCCTCGGGCTCTGTGGCGAAGGCTGCAGGTATAGAACGCGACAGCTCTAAAGCAAACTTCATCTGCTCAGGTGTGAGTTGCAAATTGATGTTCGACATTGACCCATCAATCTCGAGATCTGGTCGCTGTTGCCCAGGCCTATGCTCAACCATGGTGATCCTGAAATCGAGATCCACTTTGTCGATCAACTGCAGCTCTTCAGAGCGGTCTTCATCATAGTGGAGTCTCGAGGTAAGCTTGATGTTCCTGATGCCGGCCGAAATCTTGTTGGCAGTCTCTGCGCTCTCAGAATCGTCCAGAGGGACAAAACTGTTCTTCGCATAGATCTCTCCCAAGTTTGCAGTAAGGGTATCATGATCTGGTTTGTCGGATACCACCATGCGCGGGAAAACAACAATGGGCGTGCTGATGGTGATGTCGTAATGGAATCTTGTCGCGCGTTGTTGAATCTGTGTCGCTTGGTTTGCCGCGGCCTGACGAGCAGCATTAAAGATGGCCTGCATCTTACCAAATTTGACTGCAAATTGCATGATCTTGCGGAAGGGCTCTGTGAGAAAATTGATCTTGACAGACCCTGTCTTCAGTGCGACTGCCGCGTCATACCCTGGATAGCTCTCAGAATCAGAGTCGAAGGTCTCGTAGCTGAAATCAGCTAGGTTTTTGCCTTCAATAGTTACGAGTTGGCGAAGCGGAGATTCCTCAGATACGCCTTGGTTGACATCGTCAATGAGCGACAGGTTTCCAAGTCTTCCACCAATACGCATGGTTTTACCGCTAAGGAAAATACCAACGTTTCCGGAGTTCAGACTTAGCGTGGCGAGTCGTATGCCGTCATTATTTAGAACTACTGCAATGCGCTTCAACTCTGCGCGAATGCGTATCTTGTCTGGTTCTGCTTGCGGCTGCTCAACAACCGGTTGTTCATCTTCTTCCTGCTTGTCCTTGATCTGAGCCTGCTGGTTTTGGGGAGGTCCAGGGTTCGTAAATGTATCCAGAACAAAGTCTAGCAGGGTAAGCAGTGTCCGTCGAGTCACTATCAAGTTAATCGTTGAAACGGCGACTTCCAAGTTTGTCGCAATGCCCTCGTATTTGGTTTGGAACTCTGGCGATTCTTTGTTCACCTTGATGAACTTCAGTGTAAATAGATCTTTCTGTTCGTCTGCTGACACATCTTCTGATGTGATGATGTTCTTGAACTCGGGGATTGTAGATTCCTCCACATGGTCTTCAACAGCCAAGCTCCGCAGTCGAACATCTGCAGCCATCTCAAAAGCCTCTTGGTAGAAATCAAGATCGAAACTTTCAGCGACCAACTCAACCAGGAGCTGATCAGCCTTTCTCCCTTCCGGATCTGCTCTGTACAGAGAGCCTTGAAGGCGGTCGACTGTGAATTTGAATTCAAAGTTACGCTGATGTAAATGAACGTTGCGCTTGTCTCCTTTGGGCTCTTGCGCGTCCGAAAATTGCTCTCCAGTGTCACTGTGGCCGTCTTCTTCCATAACAAGCTCATGCTCTTGCGCAGCAAATGCGAACGACCTTGAACGTGATCGCCCGAGAGGATCTGCCTCAGACTTGGCCTCATTCTTGGGTTTCAGGTTTGACGGACCCTTTGCTCCTTCGACCACTGGTTTACTTGGAGTATCATCCCCAAACTTGGGTATGGCCACATCAATCAGTTTCATCAAATTCTTGTACTTGGAGTCCGAAACCGATGCATGAAGTACGGGCAGATTTCCAGAGACGCGGAACTTTGTCAGATCCGACGCTTTTGGGACGATGCATATCTCGATCTTGAAGTCGATATTGATACGGTCGACGATATGATAGTTCTTCACGCTTGAATCTTCCTCCAACTGCGCACGCGTTTCCTCAATTGACGGCCCTATGAGTACTTGCGTTGACTCCAGCTTCAGGTTGAATTTGTCATACATTAGATTTTCCAATTTCCGGAAATCTTCCTCCGTGTACTGCTGCTTCTGTTTCGCTTGAATGTCACGAAGGGTATCCTTGTCGACAAGCTCACTAGTGACGCTCATATGACCTGCATCAAGGATGAGACAGTTGCTTGATTCCTTGGTAACCGAGTCAGGAACAATGATGAGTGGGGCCTGCAGGTTAAGTTGGGCGTTGATAGTCTTGTGCTCAGCAAGGGCGAACTCCAAACCTGCACGGGTTTGTTGTCGGATGCCTTCAACAGTTGCTCCGGCCGTCTCCATGAGTGCACCAATAGACTCCATGTGCCTCTCTGGAGGTTTGAAGAACTTGGCAACCTCCACCACGAACCTAGGATTGTAAACAAACTCCATGCTCTTCAAATTCATGGTGAGATTCGTGTCGGCTGCTCCGTCGAGTGGATTGTTTTCGAAGGTCAGAAAGAAGAATGGATCTTCCTTCTCTTCTTCTTCGTCATCCTCGTCCTCCATATCCTTGGGCGACTCGTCGTCGTTAAGTTCCTCAATTCGCTTGTCGTCAGGGACGGGTGGTGCATCCTTGACGGTGATAATTTGCGGAAATAGACTACCCTCAGTAGTACCGTCGTACAAACGCATACCCTCAAGAGCCACCTTAACAAACGTCGAGTCAGTACGCTGCAGCAGTTGTGTACTGAATGAGTCGAAAAGAAGTCGAAGTATTTCGTTTCCCTTGCCATGTGGGTCGCGCTTGAGTGTAAAGCTGCCTGTTCGTAGGCTCATGTTGACCTCTAACTTGACGTACTCACGGGGCATATCCACCGACTCGGCAATGGCCTTCTTCTCATCCCAGTCAATGGCATCGTACAGCTCTTTTCGTTGCTGCTCATTCATCTGAGTGTTGTCGTCTTCTTGCTGCTCCTCTGGCTTACTTCCCCAGACCCAAGATGTCCAAGTTTGTTTGGGTGGGGGCTTTTTGACACCAACATTCTCTTTGCGTAGCTGGTTGCGGGCGAGCGAGCGCCAGAAGCGAAGATCCTCGTACGAAAGCTTCCGCTCCAATCTGTCCAGATCATCAGTCTCGGTAACATCAAGCCTTTCTTCGCGTTTCTTCTTCTTGAAAAGCTCAATGTATCGTATCCTGTCATCGCGCCTCTCTTTGAAATATTCCCAGCTCCATTTACGGTTCTTCTCGTGGATCTTATCGAGTACAGCTTTACCCGCAAATCGGAGCCAGCCAGCGGGGTCTTCTTTGGGGGCAGATTTTGGTTGCAGTTTTTTGTACTCTTGGTGGCGAATGAAGTAGTGGAACAAGTCGACCAACATTAGTGCATCGCGGTATTGATCTTCATCAATGATGAAACCGAGTTCATCAAACAAGAGTCGAGCCTTCATCTTAGCACGATCTATTTTGCCAGTCTTGTCCATCTCCAAACCAGCACGCCCACTAATGGGCTTGAGGATGAACTGATGGTCACCTAGATCAGGGTTGTCGCCTCTAGCAATCATGCTTCGCGCTTGCTCTATGAAGTCTGACCGGTCGATTTGTTGCTCATCGCTACTCTGATTGCCCTTACCAGTACCAATGAGCTTGGCATCTGTGTCCCAGTACACTGCCAAGGATCCAAGTGTGGCCAGCTTGTGCGTCGAGGCAGACGTACCTTGAATGAAGGTAGGTTTCCAGTTCTCGTCGGTGCTGATGGCGCTGAAGTCTGCAAGGGTGAGACCCAAGGCGAAGGGGTGACCGGGATCGGATATTGAGTCCTCATAGCGGATGTGAATGTTCTTGACGGTAACCTGAACGTTATCGACAATGGCGGTGACCAAACTCGCGGTAAAGCTTTGGTTCTTTTGCTGTTCCTCAGCACTCATGCCCTCAGTGTTTCTCTCTTTTAGTAGTTCTGCACTGTCAAGCTTCTCCATTTTGACAGCGTGAGCACGCCTCTCCTCCTCATCAGCATCATAGTCTGCATCCTCCTTTGGCGCTGCCAGCAAGAAGACGTCTTCGATGCTGACCTTTAGTGGCTTGCCACGCAGATTTGACCAGGGTATCGATAGTGTCAGAGAGCCAAGATGGCCTTCGATAACGTTCAGCGGCAAACGCAATTGGTCAAGGGCTTCGCGACGTAACTCGAGGTCGCGTAGCTTGACGTCTCCAGACCAGATGCCGACATTCAGCTGCTTTGGGTCGAAGTTCTGGACATACATGCCCAGGAACCGATTCAGCAGCGTCGACACAAGTCCTTCGAGCATGGCGGCGGCGTTGGGCCGTTACCCAGGCCGGGCGTCGAAAGCAGGCAAGGTGGAGTGTGGGGTATGGGATGGGGTGTATGTCTTGGAGTGGAAAAGGTATCCCTATCGTTGTATCATAAAACTGTGTGAAGTCATAGGAAACGGCCGTCAATTTGCAGTAGCACTGCAGAAGGGGTATCGTAGATGGTAAACACAAGGCGGGGCGTGAATAAAGGCACAGGTTTTGTGTGTGTGTGTGTGGTGTCGAGAATTACCGAGGCCGCAGCCAGGAAGAAAACAAAGTAAGTAATCTAGCAAAGAATGCAGAGGCCAGACATTGAAGAGGGGAGGGACACCACACACAACGCAACAGGGAGGAGGTGAATAGAGATCACCAAGGCAGCTACACGTCGTTTAGCCGCAAGTGTCATGGATGCATGACGTAGATCCAGCCTTCCCGCTCACGTGTGCGGGCCGTCTGGTCGTTGATTGGCTGGAGGTCTGCCTCCAATTGCGCTGTCTCCAATTTCTTCCCGCGTCCACTCCCCGCGGATCGCGTCTGAAGACGTCGCGGATCAAGAGTAGAGGGTAGTATATACCATTCTGAGCCGAATTTCTTCTTTATAATACTATTGCGAACTTTTGTTCACACTTCCCTGGTGGTCTACCATTGGCACACACAAACTGCGACCCTGAACTCGGCCAGCCAACAGCACAACCTTTTCCATAGACACATACTATTTTCAAGATGGGCTGGTGGCCCTTTTCAGGTTCAGGCGCAGACGCCGCAGCAAAACAGCAGCACCAACAGCCAGCTACTATCTCAAGTTCCACATCACCCGTACAAAAACCAAACGACGCGCCCACACCGACAATGTCACAAACACATTCTGCCCCCCACGATCCCGACTTCTATGCCGCCCACCCACACCTCGCTCCGCCCTCTTTTTCTTCCAATACTGTCTCGTCGTCGACAACGAACAGCACAGACAACAACACACAAAAACTCGAGGAGCTCGACCCTACACTACCCCGTACCATGTCCTGCCGCGCCGCCTTTGATAGCGCCTTCTATTGCTCATCGCTCGGCGGCCACTTCAACGATATATACCGCTATGGACAACTAAGAAGCTGCTCCGACCACTGGAGCGACTTTTGGTTCTGTATGCGCACAAAGAATAGTCGGAGTGGCCAGGAAGTCAAGGAGCGCATGGTGCAGGATAGGTATCGGGAAAAGGAAACGGTGCTCAAGAGCGGGCCTAATAGCGAAGATATTTGGCGTAAAAGGAAGCCAGGAGAAGAGGTTAGAGGGGCATTCAGTAGGCCTGCTGATGTCTAGAGGCAATGATATGGGAATATGCCTGTGTACGATATACTGTAGGACTAGATGTTGATAGGCAGTGAGGTTGGTCCGTTCATTTACGATTAACATCCTTCCAAAAAAACTCACATGACACGTACAGTGAGTACAACACTTGGCTCCTCTCTCCTCCAAGATTACGAATGACTTCAAGACCTTCTTTATGTGTATCTTTTTGTTGTGTCATAAACTGTGTTCATCGAAAATTTTATGGACCTATTATGCGCGCTGATGGGGCGTTTTACCAATTGATTAATTGATGTGTTCAACATCTATACATAAAAGCCTCCTATATGGCATATAGACGAGGCCTAGGGTTTAGAGGTGCCTAGAATGCCTAGTTAAGGTGAGATAACTCTAAGGTGAGGGCTATGTAGATACTCTCCTACTGGTTAAGAAGCCTTACTACCTTATCACATACCTAAGTACGTACTGGTAAACAGGCGTAGATAGTATCGGGCTGCGAGTCTTACTATGGAGGATATGATTACGTTTGCCTTCGCATGTACTGCACTGTTAGTAGTTAGATATGCGATGGTTTAGAGTAAAAGAGGGACACTATATAGGCTAAAACTTTTAATCAGATAATCTCTTTCTACTGTACAGGACGTCTTGCTCTTATACCTAAGTTTGGACAATAGTTCTGCTTAAGGTTTTTCGTAACCCTTTGCACCGACACACTATCCGTCTGTTACATTACCTTTTAGCATCACATTTTCTATCTTGCTCTTATCCAAGTACCAGCTACACTATGCTTAAGGAATCTATGTCTAGTGTCATATGTAACAGCCACTTTACCAGGGAAATAGCTGTTACGGGATTATGTGGCTTCAACACTCTACTGAAGATAGGCAAAACAATGTAGTCGAATTTGTGGGTGGATCTACAGCGTTGAACAGTTCTTTGCGGTCTTCGCGCCCGATTGTTGCAGGCTAGTGGTGTTGTGCTGCCTAAGGTGAAGGATGATAGATCCCTACATGGTACTGATTCATGACAAAGTCCGTACTGAGGGAGTATAGTGATCAATTTTCCAAAGTTTTTATCCGACTATTGTCATTTGGAAGCCATAACAATTGAGAGGGCACATTTACTTGTTCTGTTCAAGATGGAAATCAGTTTACAATGTCTTCACAACTAGACTTTCTGAATACAGATTTTTGGCGATACTTATTCTGCCTCAACTTCTTCATCTCACAACGAGAACTCTTCTGGAAATCAATACTGAAAAAGGTTCCTTGATATTTTCTCCTAACGACTGCTGTTTATTCCGAGGCAATGACTTACATCTATCTACAGAACTTCAAGTACCTGGCAGAAACCACATACGAAGACCTTCCATAATAGTCTACTCGTGCTTGAATCATTGTAGCCACCTCCTGGATAGCCTATGTCATCGGCAGATGACTATCTATATGCCCTTTGAATCGATCAATAATTACATTTCAATCTTCACAAGCATTATGTAAAAAATTGTTTCCATGGAGCTAGTCGAGCCCATAGGTAAGCCAGCTTGTCCCCTTTACCCATTAGGAGTAGAAGTAGCTTGAGAATATACTATACTGTTGAGACAAGCAATAATACAGGCAAAAAATAAAAATGATCAAATGATGACCAAGGTACTCTGTACATATCCATTAGTCGAACAGTAGTGATGTATCTGATGCGCACGATCATCAGCAACAGTGTTTTGCAAGTAGGACTGGGGAGAAGTCGGCGATCGGCGTTCGACCGCTCAGACGCTAGACCCTGTTTGGAATGCTCCAAGTGATGCGATGCGAACGTTCGGTTCTCGAACTAATTCACTCTTGCAAACAACACTTTGGTGTCTGCTTACTACATGGCTCAAACCAGGTGATCATCATTCATTAGGAGACACGAATTACCTCTCTCCAAGGCTCGTATCCAACAGAACTAGGCCCACACACCGCAGAGGACCTAAGCACCCTCAAAAGACTAGTAGCACCCTGCGACTACCCTGTCTCACACGATCAAGACGCAGCGCGACTCTCGGACTCCTCGAAAGCCTCAGGTATCGCCATGGTCCGAAATGGCAGCCCGTCGCCAGCGGACAATTTTCCGCTAGGCCATTCAGCGACATCCCCTCAACCGCAGCCCTCGAAGCGCGACAAGCGGCGCAACATGCTCGCTGAGAAGCTCGCGGAAATGATGGCCTCTTTCTCTGACAACAGAGATAGCCACTATCGCGCTCAGCTGGCTGCGCTTCAAGCTGACATCAACCTGATTATGAAGGCTGACCCTTATGCGAACCAACCACTCGAGGATAATGGAGAGGAGGCCTCGGAGCTCATCGCGCAGATTATGGGCAACAACGTGCCATCTGCACCCAGCGCTGGCACAGATTATATCGCGCAATGCGGAAAACACTACTCGCGCTTCGTTGACGCGGTCAATGATGCGATGGAGGAGCGGGACTACAATCTCACCATGCTCTGGGTGCGTGCCCCCCTGCATTCCAAGATCCTGACACGAGACGCTAATCATAGGTTTCATATAGAACAAACATGAAAACACAAAGAACGAAATCGAAAATTCACATTACTACAAAGTCCAAATCGCCGAAGAGGAGCACAAGTTGCTTGCCGCCACCATTCGGGAGCGTCTCGTAGCCAGCATACAGCAACGAACTAACAGGCTGAAGCGAGAGAAGGAGCAGCTTGACTTGTCCGACAGCAATGCAATGCTCCTTCACCCTAATCAATTCAGCATCGGAAACCCTGCCAGTCCCGGCGGACCGCAAGCGCCTCGGAAAACAAGAAGGACGGGACACAAGTTCGGGGACGCTGAAGAGCTGGCTGCAGCCAACGAAACCAAGCGCAAGAGAAAGTTATTTGAGGATCAGGACAACGATTCCCCGAACGCCTCTGCCCGGGCTATCGAAATGGGCATTGGCTCTCCGTTCCGTGAAGCCAAAGCACGTACTGTCAATGCACAGTTCGAGTCATCTGCCTACTCTCTTGAACGCCTGTTCACCGAGAAGGAGCTTAACATGGCTATGAATCAGGCCACTACAGCCGCCTCTCACTTTTTTGCAAAGATGAAGAACACAGAAGCTGCGACGCAAGAGGCAACAACGAACGGTAACACAAATGGCACAAACGGAGAGCATGCTTCTGAAAACGGCGACCCTATGGACCAAGATCAGGACTCGGACGACATACCAGGCGCTTCTGACATGGTACGCCAGCACTCATCGAACCCTCATGCCACGCGCGGTGCTACCCGGTCTGCACTCAATCCCACGGCAGCCATAGTCAGCGGACAAATACCACCATTCATCTACAACCCGCCTTTTGTGTTGGATGCAAAGATATTTCAGAAGATCAACGCGTCGGCGCCACCACCGCCCTCGCTCTCGGCACATGATGTGGAGCAGGATCTGAAGCTGATGCTAAGGGAAGCACGGCCGGATGATGATCTGAACGAGAAGCTGCTGCAGGCTGCATGCAACCCGGTCAAAGCACGAGACTACCAGGTCCAGCCACCGAACTTCTCTGAGCCCGTCAATGAGATGACAAGTGCACTACGCAGCACAGCACCACATCTGGAAGTAGGAGCAGGGCTGGGAGGAGTGCCTATGAGCGCGCAGAGCAGTGCTGCAGGATGGTCCGAAGGGGGTGGGAACACGCCGATAGGACGGAACGGAGAGAGAGACTCACTCGCTGTTGGTGGTCATGGCGGCGGTGTCGCGATGAGTCGAACGGCCAGTGGAAGCGGAAGGGGACGCGGTCGAGGACGCGGAGGTGGTTAGGACGCGTCTCGGCGGTAGTCGGCTTCCTATTCTACTTGGACTTGAACGTCACGGTCTCGTATTATACCCATGTCTGGCGTTTGGGGACGCGATGCATGTGCGGCGTTGGGCTGGATGCTGGATACATACTACTGTACTCACATGTACCGAGGTTTTGCTTTGTAGTTTCTTTGTTATTGCAGTTGACTCAGGGACACAACGAGTCAGGAGTTCTGTCGCAGCCAGGCAGACGCGTCAGTTCCCCCGTTTGTACTTGTATTCCCATTTTGTCTTTGGTTTTTTTTCCTGTTACTTTGGCGTACCAGGCAGACACAGTGTCAATACGGAGGTTTACCAATCAATCAAATCATGTTTTCGTGTCTGTCCGCGTGTCAAGGCTAGCTGTGCATGACAACAGGCCATGTATGTATTCACGTAGTCAGTCGGCAAGACAGGCGATCGTTTGCAGGGTGTAGTGCATAGGTGTTTCGTCAGTCTGCAATCAGCAGCAGCAGTAGCAGCAGGCCACATCATACGAGGGTGTTGATAGTCGATAGCATGGATGGCGGCGGTGGGGATAAAATTCGCGGCCTCGTCGAAGGTACGTGAAGGCGCTGGTTGCCATGGGCGGCCATGGCGGGGTTGCTCGCTAAAACAACTGGATTGAGGTCATGGTGGGGTGAGGGTGCCGTCATAGCAGCCTCCATGCGAGCCTCGCGCCCAGCGGCGAGACAAGCAGGCACGGCACCAACGGCAGGCGCGACACAGCAACCCGCTCAAGGCGGCAGGAGCACAGGGGGCGCCTTCCATGCATCGTATCTGGCAGGAAAAAAAAAGGCGATTTCGCCCCAGAGAAGCCGTCAGACAGCTGTTTCTAGTGGGTCGCAGAGCTTGCGGGAAGATTCTGGTTGGAGGCTTGGCACGTCGAACCCGCTGGAATTCTGTAGAAACAAGATGTTCCAAAGCAATACAAAAACTGCTCCGCCGCCGCCTTGGGCTGTCTCTCCAATTCACTACTCAAATCACATTTGAATCTTTAAGCCTCACCCACACGAAGTCTCTGACTTGTGAGCACCTTTGCGAATTTTCCTTCTACTACTTTGATACCCCACTACGCATTCGCCTACCTATACCATGGCACCCGCGATCGGAATCGATCTTGGAACCACATACTCATGTGTCGGCATCTTCCGAGATGACCGCATTGAGATCATCGCCAACGACCAGGGTAACCGCACAACACCCTCGTTCGTTGCCTTTACCGACACCGAGCGTCTCATTGGTGACTCGGCAAAGAACCAAGTCGCCATGAACCCTACCAACACCGTCTTCGATGCCAAGCGCCTCATTGGTCGCAAGTTCGCCGACGCTGAGGTCCAGGCCGACATGAAGCACTTCCCCTTCAAGGTCATTGACAAGGGTGGCAAGCCTGTCATCCAGGTCGAGTTCAAGGGCGAGGAGAAGACATTCACACCAGAGGAGATCTCATCTATGGTCCTGACCAAGATGAGGGAGACCGCAGAGTCCTACCTCGGTGGAACCGTCAACAACGCTGTCGTTACTGTCCCAGCCTACTTCAACGACTCACAACGTCAGGCCACCAAGGATGCTGGTCTCATCGCCGGTCTCAACGTCCTCCGTATCATCAACGAGCCTACCGCTGCTGCTATCGCCTACGGTCTTGACAAGAAGACCCAGGGTGAGCGCAACGTCCTCATCTTCGACTTGGGTGGTGGTACTTTCGATGTCTCTCTCTTGACCATTGAGGAGGGTATCTTCGAGGTCAAGTCCACTGCAGGTGACACTCACTTGGGTGGTGAAGACTTCGACAACCGTCTTGTCAACCACTTCACACAAGAATTCAAAAGAAAACACAAGAAAGGTTAGAGGATTTCCATTTTATTCCAGTTCTTCTTGATATTTTTTGGAATTTTTTTGCTAACATTGAAGACAGATCTCACCACCAACGCTCGTGCCCTTCGTCGTCTCCGAACCGCTTGCGAACGTGCCAAGCGCACTCTTTCTTCTTCAGCTCAGACCTCCATCGAGATTGAGTAAGTTTTACCCTCTAGTAACGAATTGTCTTGACTCTCTTACTAACAAACCCTAGCTCCCTCTATGAAGGTATCGACTTCTACACCTCCATCACCCGTGCCCGCTTCGAGGAGCTGTGCCAGGACCTCTTCCGCTCCACCATGGAGCCTGTCGAGCGTGTCCTCCGCGATGCCAAGATCGACAAGTCCTCTGTCCACGAGATCGTCCTCGTCGGTGGATCCACCCGTATCCCCAAGGTCCAGAAGATGGTCTCCGACTTCTTCAACGGAAAGGAGCCCAACAAGTCCATCAACCCCGATGAGGCTGTCGCCTACGGTGCTGCCGTCCAGGCTGCCATCCTGTCCGGTGACACATCTTCCAAGTCCACCTCCGAGATCCTGCTCCTCGATGTTGCGCCGCTCTCCATCGGTATTGAGACCGCTGGTGGTGTCATGACCCCTCTTATCAAGCGCAACACCACCATCCCCACCAAGAAGTCCGAGGTCTTCTCTACCTTCAGCGACAACCAGCCTGGTGTGCTCATCCAAGTCTACGAGGGTGAGCGTGCCCGCACTAAGGACAACAACCTGCTCGGCAAGTTCGAGCTGACCGGCATCCCACCTGCTCCTCGTGGTGTTCCTCAGATCGAGGTCACCTTCGACGTCGACGCCAACGGTATCATCAACGTCTCCGCCCTTGAGAAGGGTACCGGAAAGACCAACAAGATCGTCATCACCAACGACAAGGGCCGTCTCTCCAAGGAGGAGATCGAGCGCATGTTGGCTGAGGCTGAGAAGTACAAGGCCGAGGATGAGGCTGAGGCTGCCCGTATCGCCGCCAAGAACGCTCTCGAGTCCTACGCCTACTCTCTGCGCAACACCCTCAGCGACTCCAAGGTCGACGAGAAGCTCGATGCTGGTGATAAGGAGAAGCTCAAGGCCGAGATCGACAAGACCGTCGCCTGGTTGGACGACAACCAGACCGCCACCAAGGACGAGTACGAGTCTCAGCAGAAGGAGCTCGAGGGTGTCGCCAACCCCATCATGATGAAGTTCTACGGAGCTGGTGGTGAGGGTGGCATGCCTGGCGGTATGCCCGGCGGTGCTCCCGGCGGCGCCCACGGTGGTGCTGGCGGCGATGATGGCCCAACTGTCGAGGAGGTTGACTAAGTGGATCGCTCCTCAGCAGTCTCTTTGTCTTCTTCAGCATCTTCTAGCATAGACATTTTCCATGGGATTAGTTCACGGAGTTCCAGGCTTATGAGCCCTTTTCATTTGTTTTCCTAACTGCATCGGATGACTAACGATCAATGACTTTGGGAGGAAAAGTTCGGTGGTAGCATGTACTCTAATAATAGGGTTTAATATCCTGTGTAGAGAATTGAAACGACATTTCAAAATACTTGACTGTGTGCATCTTGCTTGGTGTTTGTGACTATGTGTTGACTTTAGAAGAACATGCGACAAGAGAAACATCTGGACTATGATCGAGAGAGGCTGTTGGACAGTTTACCATCATTCCGATGACTAATTAAAGTACAGCAGTATGAACACCGCTTTACATTGTGGTGTATCTCCGCACAGCGGAGTGTAACTAACTTGAAAGCAAAACTAAACATTTAAAAAGGGCAACTGATAATGAAATACCACATCGAGCATTGGCTGATCACACCTATTCCTCAGCTTCCACTCTGTCACGACCGCCATGTGCACACCGCATACCATCAACTCTCCTTGCCACACTCTCAAATCCTTCTCTCTACGCAAAGTCGTCGCACAGCTCAAGCGTAATATCTGCCTCTCCCTTCAAATACGCAGCCGTATAATCCGGCTTCGGCTCCCCATACCAAAGAATCTGCTCCACAGGCTTCCCCTCCGTATTATGAATGCGCAGCTTCTTCCCCTTGAACGCGAAGCCATTGACGGTACTCAAGCTATAATACAGCCCTGTGACGTTGCTCCATGAATACCCTAGGATCAAGATGGGCTGCGGGTTATTGGGGCCGGGTTCCGTCGTTGTTACTTGGATGGAGACGCCGGTGCCGCGGTCTGGATTCCTTTGTTCTTCCGAGAAGGTAGAGCCGGGGGGTATGTTTTGGGTTTGGCCTGCTTGGCCTTGGACTGAGGTTACCCACACGGGGAAGTCGCATTTGTTGTGGACTTTGGCTTGGGCGGCTAGGGCGGTGCTGGCGGAGAGGGAGAGGGAGGTGAGGAGGGTTGGGAGATACATGTTTGAGGAAGGGGGAATAGTGGTGCTGTTTTTTTTTAGAAAAGATGAGGGGTGGTAGCGGGTGAGGGGTGTGAAGGTTACTATCAAGCGTGATTGAGATGGTATGGTTATTTGGGCTTCATTGGGAGGAATCAACCTCGTCTTATACCCGCCGAAAACGCCTCAATTCGCCTTTAGTATTTCCCACCGTTTCCTGTATTCAATAGCTTTGTCCAAAGGAAAGAGGGTCAGCAAGCCAGTGCTACATTACTATCCATATGAGTGCTCTTGTACCAGATACCAAACATAGCATCGTCTTCCAATTGGACGCACGTGTTCAGATGATTTCGTGTCCAGTATAAGGCAGTTGCCTTTGTTTCGTTGGAAGCAAGGCCCTTAGTCCGACGGCCCAACGTGGTGCAATAGACAGCATGGCCAAGCTCTTGAGGTACACATGGTGCAACTACCCGTACCGTCCGCGGCAAACTAGCAAATACCTCGCGAACCAATTGATGGCCCCAGCGCATACAAGATCCGGATCTTGGGTATGCAGAAAAACATGATTGACGGGAGTAGGGTGGGGAGAGAGGTAAAGGGTTGCGCGTCGATACTGTTGTGCCAGAAGGCTGTCACAAAGTCCGAGGCGGGTGTTCCTATTGAGTACTCCGGTCACTGGATAGATTCATGTGACTGCAATAGTCTCTTTGTCATGCTATTGACTTGTCTAGCTGAAACGACTACGACACTTTCTAGATAGAAGGAGGTTGTCCAGCTTCTATCCATCTCGTCAAGGTAATGTCCGTTAGGACAATGTTTACAAGAAGCACCTTTAATACCATATCTTCTTTCCTTGATTTTCGTCTTAGTTTTACTTGATAGTAACAGCTTGTGTGATGTCCGGCGTTTTGACTATACTATATAGGATATTCGAATAGAGCATTCGATATGGTCAGTGTGAGATCTTCATCTGAACCTGTTCGTCTCGCAATCATCCAGCTCTATATTGAACAAAGCATAGGCTGGGATACTTATTAGCTATTTATATTACTGTAGCTGTGCAGCTACTAGCCACACCTGAGATACATCCAGCAATTTCTTCTTCCCGCACTTAAGTCTCCTACTACCGGACAAGCCTAGCTCAGCATGTCCGCTCAGTATGTCCGCCCAACATGTCCAATCAGCATATCTACTTGGCATGTCCGCTCATCATGTCCGCGAAGTATATCTGCTTAGCATGTCCGCCCAGCGTGTCCACTCAGTTTGTCTACCTACAGGACGTAGACTAATGATCCAATAAAGCCATTGTCTGGAATATATTGATACAAGCTGCTTTACTCAACTGATTACAATGTGTGACATAGAATTATATTGCCTTAGTCTCATGTCACAAGGACGCTATCATTACGAAGTTCCAAAGATTCATCAATCACCGTGCACAAAAACAAGCCACCCACTATGTGTTCTAGTTAGGGGTTCAAGAGATGGGAAAAAATCATCGCGCTATACTTAGTGTTTGCGCCAATCCGCGTCCTCGACAAAGCGACGGATTACCGCACAACCCCGCAAATCCTTGTTAGATGCAAAAAGAGATAGACACCCATCGCAACAACGCTGGCAGTTATAAAAGAACAGCAAAAAAGAGAGTTTCCGACACCGGGAATCGAACCCGGGCCTTGCCGGCACTGAACAGTGAACTGACTCTGCAATGAGAGCGGCAAATCCTAGCCACTAGACCATATCGGATGTTGTTTGATTGATGGAAGTTTCCGAGGTAATTAAAATCATAGACTGCAGCATAGAAATTGAATAAAAAATGAAAACATCCAAGTAGCTTATCGGCAAAGCTAACTAGCAAGAACATGTCGCCGAAGCAAAACTCCTGCAAGCGCTATTCTTTCCTATATCGGCCTAGATAGAAAACCCGACCCGAAGACGTAATCGAATGCATACATGCAACCACAGGCAAGTCGGTATGTATCCGAGGCAAAGACTCTCGTTCTTCTAATACCGAGCAACATGATTCTTCGTGCGAATGCATGACTATAATCATAACAGCGATTGCTTACACTAAGCATACGTATCAGAGTTTGACGTCCAAGTCAAAAATGGCTCATCCAGACCAAAACTATACGTAGCAAGAGCCGAGAATGACTCCTGGATATGCTGCACTTAGTGCGGCCAGGCTAGACGGACCAGTGTAATCATAGATGACTCCCGGTTTCGCCGCATGCCCCGCGCAACAAAAAAGTTCCCCGCGATCATTGACTTAAACTCGACACTTGAAATCCCCACGATAGCAGTTCAGCAATGGCAATCAAAAACACAGCATTCGACCTGCAGACATGCGCGCGACCCAACATTCTCGCGTTGGAGCCGTACCGATGCGCGCGCGAGTAGGTGAAGCTCAAATGACGCTGATTGCGGTACTCAGACTGACACGAGTACGTAGTGACTACAAAGACGACGGAACCAACATTCTCCTCGACGCGAATGAGAACGCGTACGGGCCGGGCCTTTCATTGACGGGAGAGATAAAATCAAAAGTCAATGGCGCATCCGACTCATCGTATGCGATTGACATTGATTTACTTGGTCTGAACCGCTACCCAGATCCGTACGCACGCCGCTCTGTATCCTGTGCTGGGGTCAACAAGAACTAACACATGGCCACGCAGCCACCAAGAAGAACTCAAGCAGCTGCTCTGCAATCTCCGAAACACGCAAACGCACACATCGAAGAAGATCACACCGGCCAACCTGTTTGTTGGCGTGGGCTCGGACGAAGCTATCGACGCGCTGATCCGCGCCTTTTGCATTCCGGGCAAAGAAAAGATCCTCACATGTCCACCCACATATGGCATGTACAGCGTATCGGCGCAAGTCAACGACGTGTCGCTTGTCAAGGTGCCCCTGCAAACACCCAGCTTCGACCTCGATGTACCCGCGATTCTCGATGCGCTGGACCAAGACAAGAATATCAAGCTAGCATACCTGTGTTCACCGGGGAACCCAACAGGCAAGCTGTTGAAAAAGGAAGACGTCCAGCGTGTCCTAGAGCATCAATGGAACGGTGTCGTAGTGCTGGACGAGGCATACATTGACTTCTCGCCTGATGGCACCAGCCTGGCAGAATGGGTATCTGAATGGCCGAACCTTGTGGTCATGCAGACGCTCTCCAAAGCCTTTGGCCTCGCCGGCATCCGTCTGGGCGCTGCATTTGCCGACCCGGCAATCGCTCAGATCCTAAACAACATGAAGGCGCCATACAACATTCCTAATCCCACCAGTCAACTTGCACGTGCTGCTCTATCACCCAAACATCTAGATGTCATGCACAAGAATCGCAATGCGATTGTCGAGCAGCGCGATCGTATGATTCGCGAATTGCCAAAGATTGCGGGCGTTGGTCCTCTGCACGGCGGCACAGAGTCGAATTTCCTGCTCTACCAGATTCTCGATGCGCCTGCGGACCAGGGTGGCAAGCCGTCAAATGAGACTGCGCTGGCGGTGTACGAGGGGCTGGCAGAGGAAAAGGGTGTGGTGGTTAGGTTTAGAGGCAAGGAGCATGGCTGCTTGGGATGCCTAAGGATAACGGTGGGTACGGAGAAGGAAGTGGATCGGTTTTTGCAAGAGCTTCAGGCTGTTTTGAAAGCGATCCATCAAAGAACGGGCAAGTTGGGAGGCAAGGATGAGGAGCGGAGAGAGCAGGAGGCGAGTGACGTTGTGGCATAAGGTTTCGATGAGACGTAGATGAGAACTGGATATAGCAATTCGGATCTTTCCGTGGCAAGGTTGCAGTCGCAACAATTGATCGACACGACCGTTTGTTTGCACGTCTCGGGTAGATAACATTTAACTTTCGTTCCGTTCCTTCCTTGAACATCATTCCGCTCGCACGTTCACATCCTCATACATCCACGTCTCGTCGCCCCCACCGCATGGCGCATACAAGCATTTTCTGATACCTCCGTCTTCAAATACGGGCACGACATCGCGCTCCGCCACCTTCATGGCCCACATGATGACCCTCGCGCCCAGGTGCTCAGTCCGACCATCGATAAACACAGGCGCCGTGCTATCAGCTGGCTGATTCACAAATGTAAGACCAAGGTCATCTAGCACGTCGCTGGGAGTGGCGCTAGGATCAGCAGAAGGGAGGTGCACAAAGTCTACGAGGTGTTCGTCAACAAAGGTGTATGTTTCTACGTCTTCGATACCGTCTTCAAGCGTTGGGAGCGCGTGCTGGGCACATAGGCTGCGCACGAGGGTAAAGACGGACACTTTGTCCGTTTCTGGTGTTGTTAACATTGTGGAAACTAGCACGGTAAGCAGTAATGCCCATTTTAGACTGTCGTCGTGAGTCTTTTCCAAGCCATGTTTTTGGAGCGCAGCTGTGAACTTTGCTGTTGCTGTGGGCATATCCTTTTTGAAAGTCGATAGGACCTCAGGCAAGCTGTGCAAGGACCTGTTTGAAGCATCCCGGTCTGATGCCCGTAGCCTGGCTACTGCAGCCTGGAGTTCTTGCCGCACCGAGTGAATGATGCGGGCTTGACCATCACGGTAAATCTTTGCATACTTTTGCTTGGTGTTTTGGGGTTCCTGCTCTATACGGAGAGGGAGGGAGGCGCATCTCTGCTCCAGCGCCTGATGTAAAAGTACCAAGACCTGCAGCGTGATCCTTGCTCCAGGTCGAGCAACGTCGATGCTACTTATATCCACTTCTGCGGTAATAATTGTCTGGATGAAGAAGAAGTGAACAATATACGGGGGCACACCACGGAAAAAGGGCACATTGTTGTCATACCGCCCGAATGGGTGACCTCTGGTACGCAAAAAGTGCTGTTCTTTGTTTGGATCTGTGGCGAGGAAATCCCGAGTCATCTCAAAAGGCACGTTTTTGCCATCTAGTAGACCGAGCTGCTGCGCGTATTGCTGCAGCTGCGGCTGAAACGCTAGCTTCAAGGCAAACTGCTCAATTGGGTTGTCCTCGAGACAGAAACCGTATCCAAGGAGCAGCTCATCATTCTGCTTGGGCGCATAGTTGTTGAAAAGCTCCTCTCCCGGTTGGACAGAGTCGCCTTGGAGGCACTTGAGTGCGAATGAGCGATGTGGTTCAAAGTCCCATTCGACCTTTGCAGTGACGGAATGGTTTAGAATATCAATGACTGGGAAGAGCATGGGTATTGTCTCTCTGCCAGGTAAGATATGAGTGGAGATGAATGCGCGCGAAGTGAAGATGGTAGCGGCCCATTGCAGCGATTCGCTGACTAGTGTTAGCGGGGTGTGTATGGCGTCTGATGTAATGTGCAGACAAAGCAAATCAAATTGGTCATTCAACACGTCGAGGGCATCACGTATTCAATTGCCGAGTGGACAGCATGGGCCTACTGCACGCCTGAGACACCATGTTTGGGCTGCTTTGGGTGGCCTGCGCTAGGAAACTTACAGAGAGATAACGTCAGCCAGATGCATATCAAAGTGCTTCATGACTTGTACGGCGTGCTCCCGTTGCTGGTGTAGCTCAGCCTTTCTTTCTTTTGCGGCGGGCGCCAAGGATGTGCCAGCCAGAAAGGCGAAGTCGACATCATCAAACCAGAGAGGAGTGGTTATGTTTTGAGGCCCAGGTAAGCATGCTAGATAAGCGCTCCAAGGCGAGTCGTTGCCCTTGTCGCGCTGCTCTAGCAACATAAGATATGCCAAGATATGGTCTGGGATCTTGTCTCGACATTGCTGCAAAGGTGACTGGATATGTTGCACCCCTTTCTCACCGGGGTCTAGGTTCAGGATGGAGAGGGTAAGGTTGAGCGGACACGATGCCACGACAGGCGAGGTTAATGGCGCCCGGGCACACAGATGGAAGCCTTGAGCGTGCGTGTAGGCGAGCTGGACCTGCGGGCTCAGGTGGCCCCCATGCTGGACGAACCAATTGACGAGGTTCTCAGCTAGTGATTGAGGAGCAACGTCTAGGGCTGATGTGTGCTCCGTTTGGGAAGCCATGAGCGACAAGGTTTGGGCTTTGCTGCTTGGCGTGATTGATCAGATTTCAGACGGCGAGTTGCAGGCGCAATGGTGCAGAGCTTGTGCGACGATTCGGAGGGTGGTTCGTCCGATGGAGTTTTGGAGCGGGCGATGTGCAGCTGACGAGAGCTCGGTCTCGGAGAAAAATGGAAGTGCGCGGAAAACGGACGCCGGGAGAACCGAAGATCGGATTCGAGGCAGCATGTGGTGGCATGGTGGTGAGCAGTTGCGGGGCCTTGCAGCATGGGTTGCGTGTCTCGGCGAGGTGCGTGTCATTGTCGGTGAGGAAGGAGGAGGGGAAGGGGGGGGAGAATGCAGATGGGAGGCTGTTGCTATGCCACAGGCGGTGGTGGCTGCTGGCCTGGGACATGGCATACATACATACATACAAACTGTAGCTAGCCTCGGGTTTAAACATGCTGGTACCTACATAGTTACAGATGCAGTGGACATCAACATGCTACTTACTTGGGATATGCGTGGGGCCCACTCGGTAGTACATGTGATAACTACCGTAAAACATACAGGACATCGGGCCTCGGCGGGTATGGTTTTTGCTTGGCCTCGCATGGTGTGGTGGTGTAGGGCCGATGGAGAAAGTGTGGAGAGACGGGATGGATCGATAGGTACGTACATATGTAGGTATGTCGTAGTGTATACTTGTAGTATTGGCAACTGTCCATGGGCCAGCCTATAGTGGGAGCCGTGGGAGCCGGGCGTCGATCCAAGCAGCTGCATCGGTCGAGTGCGCATCGTATAGGCCGTATGGGTGCGTGTGCGTATCAGGGTGTATGGATGGACGCAAGTATAGTAGCAGGCGAGGCGGATACGGCGAGACGAGCCAATCACGCCGGCCCCGTTGGCAGCAGAGTCTGGGCCGGACATGGCTCGTGTCGTGGTTTCGAACTGGGAGCGGGCGTGCGCTAGCGGGAGGTCGACGGTTGACATGACGGGCGTCGCAGCCTGCCTGTGTCTTGTGCGTCGACAATGCGGACAAGAAGTAAAGTCCATGTCCGCCGCCGCGCGGTGAATGACCTCTGGCGGCGGCCCTGTTGACCTCATCTTTTTCCTCTTGTCCTCTTTCCGCCCTCGTGTCCTTTTGGTCTCTTGTCGTGGTTGCTTGTGTTCCTGGCGGGCTGCCTCTGCTTTCTTCGCATGTTACGTACAGAGTTGCTAGTACTGTATGCATCCCTCAGCCTCTCGTACCCCTGCCCTGCATAACTCCTAGCTTGTGCTCACTGTGGCTTGTAAGTTAGACTCCCGTTTGGCGCTTGACAGAGGCCATTCCTTTATAATAATAATGGCCTCGCATCCTACCGCCGATATTTCCCAAATTGCTGACAGTCTCCCCAGAATGCCTCTTCCTTCTGTCCCGTAGCCGGAGCAATGCTGATGGACATGTTGGCCGCCAATCCCACCACCACCACCGCCACAACTAATGCCTCCTTCCTTCACAAGCCACTCTCCCTCCTAGGCTCCGTCTTGCGGGGCCAAACTCCCTCCCCTGACATGTCCACAACAACAACAACAACAAAAACAATAACACACGACACCCCTCCGCTTGACAGTTCTTCCTCTCGCCCTGCTTCTGCCGGCAGCGACACCACTGCTGACAAGGTCAAAAAACCCTCGCGCCGCTCAAAGACATCCTACAACATCGCCCGTCCCATAAACACTCGCTCAAAGCGCCACGTCCACCTCCAGCTACACCAGGTCATTACCTCGCAACGCCCCAAGCCCGCCTACGACGTCATCCCCTTTTCCCTCCTCCCTCAGCGCTCCACCCGTCGCCTGGCCCACTTCTTCAACACCAGGGAGCGATTAGGCCCCAACGACCTCCTTGTCGTCAAGGCCGGAGCCTACACATCGCAAGATGAGCAAGAAAAGTCGCGCCAGGATGATTGGGCCTCGCGCGACGTCGTCGGCGTCCTGAGCACACGCAAAAGCGACAACGGTCTTACCGAGACCACCGACATCTGCATCAGCGATGGATTCAGTCGCTGGTCAGTCGCAGACATGCCCAATGGGGGTTACGAATTCACCTCCACCGACGAGCATGCTGTTGCGCTCAAGGCACGCTGGGTACTCAAGCCTGCACATGCCCGCCGCACCTCGGCCTCGACAGTTACTGCTACTGCACCAGAGGACAAGAAGTTCACCTTTAGCACAATCAGTTCCGACTCAAGGCGACACCCCATCATTGCCACAATGACACGCAGCCGCATCGACGTTATGGACACATACACCATTCCCTCGGCCACCTCTCCTCCGACCCCAAACGCCACATCCTCGTATACCCAGTCGCCTACAACACCTCTCAGCATCGACTCCGATTCCTTTGCTGATGCCCTTGCTGAAAAGCTTCCCATCGAAACTAACGAAGCCCTCCGCAACCTCATACTGGTGTCTGGTGTCTGGCTTGCTTCCAGAGAATTTGCCTCGGATGGCTCCAGCCTAGCGACCATTCCAGCCCTGACTCGGAGCAATTCAGTCCGCCAGGCCGCTCATCGTGCATGTTCAATGAGTATGCTCGAAGGCCCTCGCTCACCATCGCCAGCTTCAACAGTCGAAGAGAAGCGTCGTTCATTTCCACGAATGTTGAAGGCCAGCATCGAAGGACTGTCCCATACACACGCCGATGCTCCTCCCTCTCCTGCTTCCACTAAAACAGCGGCCAAGGCATCCCCGGTGGTCACAACACGCTCACGGAGAGCAAACTCGACTGGCACTGCCATCCATAGCATCACTGGCAGTGCGAGAAAGAGATACGGGCTAGCTTTCGAAGACGAAACTTTGGTAGAAAGCACAGAAGAGCGCCAGATGAAACGCAGCATAGAGTTACTTCGTATTAGAGAGCTACAACTGCCTTCTCCCATAGAACGTCCATCTGTCGAGACATCTCGACCCGATGCCAACCAGCTTCCCTCTCCTATCGTTATACCTCCCTCACCAGTAGAGCCAGCCTCCCCTGCATCGTTGCTCGACTCGCCCTTGCTTTCCCCGCCTCTCCCGGACACAAAGCGACCACGAAAGACACAATCTACCTACGCACCGATTACGACAACTGGCATGTGGGATTCTGGAGTTGTCGACGGCCCCGGTCTAAAGAAACGCCCTACCAGCATGTTTGTCATGAACGAAAAGAAGCGCAAGCAAGAGAAGAAGGGCGAACGAAGTAAGAGCAAGGATTCAAAAACGAGGAAGGGCGAACAGAGCAGCGATCACAGCATGGGTGTCAAGAGAAAGAGTGACTGGTATGTGTACAAGATCAAGCTTCGCCTTAAAGACATGTTTCATCACAAGGAGAGGGCTTAATTGCGAATATGCCCTCTCAGCCATGACCTTATATTTTGGTCTACAATTCTTTTCATTACATCGGGGTGGAGTTTTCCTGGAGCATTTGGGTATGACACAGCATTTTTCTTCTTTTCGTCTTCTCTTTTCATTTCACAACAACTGTTAGCAGAATCAGGCTGGACCTGTTGGTTCGGGCTCCTTTGTCCAATCGGTATTTCTACTGTACACTACGCTCTCCTTGCCTTCTAACCTGTAGATACCTTTGCCTATTAGGCCACCTAGATCAACGTCACTCCCTCCGCATTTTTCCTTTATTTTGGTTAGGTTAGGAAATCCGCAATTTCTTGTGCCAAATACAAATTATTCGAAATCATTATGCATTGAACATGCTCATTTGCTCGACTTTTGATTATAGGACCGATAATATCTCCGAACTTTGCCTAGCGCTCTTTTTTTGGATCCGTTTTTATTACCTTATGCAGTGGGTGGGTGATCCCCTCAACCAAACCTTGAACTAGGATGATGCCAGTGAGACAGTGCTTATATCGTACCGTATCCTTACTATGGTGATTATCCTGGTTCCAGGGTTCCGTGACCCGTTCCTTCTCAATTCATGCCTGTTTCGGAACATAATTCAAAATCAACCTTTGTGTTTGTCCGCCCCGGAGGGCCGGATATTGAAATCCGAGATCCGAGAGGGTAATATATTTTTTAAAGTTTTTCTTTTCTTTGCAAGCCATGTGCTGTATACTAGCGCTGGTATGAATATTTGTGGACACCTTGACGTCCGGTTCGGCCGAATGGGCAGTGGATGAACGGAGGAGGAAATCCGAGATCCCTTCTTGATTTGGTTATTGATTTGCCGAGTCGAGATCATGTACAGTCCTGCTTGCTGGAAGAGATCGAGATGAACCCTTTTTCTTGGCATGTTTCTACTAATAAGCACGAAAGCCTCCAGCACTATTACGATTGCGTGTTGCCGTTCGCCATCACCAATGTTGATATCCTGACCTTGCTCGGTAGGAGAAAAGCTACGCAACTTCTGTCTATTCGACTGGTAAAAGAGAGTGGTGCTCTGCCCCTCACGATCGCTAGCCTGGTGTTTTGCATTCGAAGCTGCAGCCTGAGTTTGGATGTTGCGCTCACCTTTGGCATGTGAAAGGTGTACCAGTGGCTACCATGCAGCGATTGCTGTCGTTGCAGACCTTGACGCCCTTCATGCCATCACTCTTCTCTATCATCATCACACTCGGAGCGCAACTATCACAGCTGTCTCATCGTCTTGCTTTTCACGATGGACGTTGTGGTGCTCGTGGTTCACTGCAATACAACTTGTGAACTCCTAAAAGCCCCGCACTAGCGTCCGACTAGCGTGCCTTCCCCTGCAGCCTCTCGCTTTGGCAACGCAAACGCGTAAACATTGACCCTCATGTAGCAAAACACGCCTTCACATTCAACTTCATCGCCACCACACCTTCCTTTCGTCTACATTCGTTGCATCTTGCCCGTGTCTTGTCGCTCGAACAGTCACGTGTGACAAGTGCTTTTTTTTCTTTCGACCTTGTCCCCCGTCCTGGGGACTCGACTTTAGCCCACCATGTCCGACTCCCTAATGGACGACTCCGTATTCGACGAAGGCGCGAGCTCTGACTTCGCCCCGCCTGCAAAGGCCGCCAAAGCCACCAAGGCAGCGGCGAAACCGAAAGCACCCGCCACAAAGAAAGCAGCTGGTCCTGCAAAACCTCGAGGCAGACCCGCCGGCGCCACTGCAAAGCCGAAAGCGAAGGCTGCACCTAAGAAGAAGGCAAAGGCCGACTCAGACATCGAGAACTCAGATGTAGACATGGATGAGGACCCTGTAGACGTCGATGAGTCGCTGCTCGCAGACACACCAAAGCCTAAAAAAGCACCAGCCCCCAAGAAGCCGAGCAGCAAACCCCCCGCAGATATTGCCAATGACAGCTTTGGTGGAGATGGCGATGACGAGCCAGCTGCAAAGCCCAAGAAGGGCGGTGCCAGCAGCAAGTACCAGATGGTGAGTATTGCAATTGCAATTGGCGAAATACCGACTAACACAATCATAGTTGACGCACTTGGAGCACATTATGAAGCGCCCTGATACATACATTGGTTCCGTAGAACGACAAACGGATAAGATGTGGGTGTATAATTCGGAGAGCGAGGCGATGGAATACCGCGACGTGTCATACGTCCCCGGTCTGTACAAGATCTTTGACGAGATTCTTGTCAACGCCGCCGATAACAAACAAAACGACAAGAATATGAGTGAGATCAGAGTAACGGTCGACCGGGAGAGTGGCGAGATCTCCATCAGGAACGATGGCAAGGGAATTCCAATTGAGATTCATAAAGTGTGTTGCCCGCGACCTCCTAAAATTACCTGCTGACTCGGTTAGGAACACGGCATCTATGTACCAGAGATGATTTTCGGTCATCTTCTCACCTCGTCCAACTATGACGACGACCAACAAAAAGTCACTGGTGGTCGCAACGGTTACGGAGCCAAGCTCTGTAACGTATTCAGTACCGAATTCACAGTCGAGACCGTCGATTCGAAACAGAAGAAGAAGTACAAGCAAACATGGACGGAGAACATGAGCAAGATGGGCAAAGCCAAGATTACCGACATCAAGGCGGACGATTACACTAAGGTTAGCTGGAAGGCCGACTACGCTAGGTTTGGCATGGAGGGCATTGACGACGATTTTGAAGCCATGGTCAAACGCAGGACCTACGATATGGCGGGTACGCTACGGGGCGTCAAGGTTTACCTTAACGGCGAGCGCATCAAGATCACATCGTTTGCCAAATACATGGAAATGTACACAAAGTCTATCTCGCGCGACCAGGGCAACAGCGAAGATGAGAAGGAGAAGGATGTCATCATTACCGACAAGCTCGAACGCTGGGACATTGGTTTTGCTGTTTCAGATGGTGCCTTTAATCAGGTATCCTTTGTCAACTCTATCGCGACAACATCCGGTGGTACGCACGTAAACCACATTGCCGACCAGATCGTCGAGAAGCTCATGGCCATTGTCAACAAGAAAAACAAAGCCGCTGTCAAGCTCAAGCCTGCACAGATTAAGAACCACCTTTTTCTGTTTGTCAATTGTTCCATCGTGAACCCTGCCTTCACATCCCAGACAAAAGAGCAGCTCACTACCAAGCCCAGTCAGTTTGGCAGCAAGCCCGTCCTCAGCGACAAGTTCCTGAATGCCATTGCCAAGACCGATGTCATTCAGAACATTATGCACTTTGCTCAGCAAAAGGCTGACCAGATGATGAAGAAGACCGATGGCAACAAGCGTAACCGAATCAACAACGCAAAGTTGACAGATGCCAATAAGGCGGGCACCAAGGACGGACATCTTTGCACTCTCATCCTCACTGAGGGTGAGTCGGCTAGTGTTCTTGCACTTGCTGGACGTGCTGTCGTCAACCAGGACTTGTTTGGTGTCTTCCCGCTTCGTGGTAAGCTTCTCAACGTCCGTGACGCCACGGTCGATCAGATCATGAAGAATGCCGAGATTCAGAACATCAAGAAATTCATGGGTCTTCAGCACAAGAAGGAGTATACGGTGGCAGACATGAAAAGCTTGCGTTACGGCCATCTCATGATTATGACGGATCAGGATCACGACGGTAGCCATATCAAGGGTCTGTTGATCAACTTTCTTCAGTGCCAGTTTCCGAGCTTGCTCAAGATCCCAGGTTTCCTACTGGAGTTCATCACGCCCATTGTCAAGGTCTGGAAGGGTGACCAAAAGAACCCACGCAACATGAAGAGTTTCTTCTCCATGCCAGAATACGAGGAGTGGAAAGAACAACACGCACATGAAAAGGGCTGGGATCACAAGTACTACAAGGGATTGGGTACCAGCGACATTCCCGATGCTCAGATTTACTTCAAGGATCTCGACACCCATATGAAGCGCTTCCAGGTCATGCGAGAAGAGGAGGAAAAGCTCATAGAATTGGCTTTCTCGAAGAAGAAGGCGGATGCTCGTAAAGACTGGCTACGCGACTTTGTACCAGGTCGGCATCTTGACCTGACCACTCCAGACATTTCCTATGACGATTTCGTCAACAAGGAGTTGATTCTGTTTTCCATGGCTGATAACGTGCGATCTATCCCGTCCGTTATTGATGGCCTGAAGCCCGGTCAGCGGAAAGTGATGTACACTTGCTTTAGGCGTAACATCAAGAAGGATGTCAAGGTGGTTGAGCTTGCTGGTGCAGTCTCCGGATCTACCGACTATGCTCACGGAGAAGCTTCAATGCAGGGTACCATTGTCGGTCTCGCACAGAATTTTGTTGGAACCAACAATATCAACTTCTTGGAGCCAAGTGGTAACTTTGGTTCTCGTCTCAAGGGTGGTGCCGACGCTGCCAGCGCCAGGTACATTTACACTCGTCTGACACCATTTGCAAGACGCATCTTTCATCCCCACGATGATGCGTTATTGAAGTACGGCGAATCCGATGGCAACAAGATTGAACCGGAGATGTATGTACCCATTCTGCCTACGATTCTCATTAATGGCTCAAGTGGTATCGGTACTGGTTGGAGTTCTGAAATTCCTAACTTTAACCCCATGGATATCATCGAGAACATCAGGCGCCGAATGCAACCAGGTGCTACCAAAGAGGATATGTCACCTATGGTCCCCTGGTACAAGGGCTTCACCGGAACGACCACTGTCCTTGGTCCTGACCGCTACCAGTTCACGGGTACTGTTCGACAGACTGGTGATAACGAGATTGAAATCACTGAGCTTCCTGTTCGCTACTGGACCCAGGACTTCAAGGAGAAACTTGAGGAAATCATCAAGGCGGAAAAGGGCCCCTCATTTATCAAGGACTACATTGACTACAACACCCCAGATCGCGTCCATTTTGTCATCAAGATGGAGGACAAGTACATGACAGCCGCTCTTGCTAAGGGCCTCGAGGAAATGTTCAAATTATACAAGCCTCAAGCCACCAGCAATCTTGTTGCATTCGATGCACAAGGACGTATTCACAAGTACTCAACCGTCCTTGACATTATTGAGGAATTTTACCACATCCGTCTGCGGTACTACGAGAAACGAAAGCAACATCAACTTCAAGTCATGGAGAAGGAGCTTCTCAAGTTGACGAACCAAGCTAGATTCATTCAGATGATTATCGATGGAAAGCTTACGGTTTCCAAGAAGAAGAAGTCTGCCCTTGTCCAAGAACTCAAGAAACTTGGCTTTGCACCGATCCCCAAGGTCGAAGATGCGAAGAATGCAGGCGAAGAGGAAGATGCTCAGGAGGACGAATCAGACGAGGCTGAAGTCGAAGTGTCCGCCAACGACTACGACTATTTGCTTGGCGTAAGTACTCATACACCTGAATAGTGTGTCAAAATGCTAACAGTTTACAGATGGCCATTTGGTCTTTGACGCAAGAGCGGGTCGAAAAGCTCTTGAAGCAGATTGGCGAGAGGCAGGAAGAGGTCGACACCCTTATCAAACTCTCACCCAAGGATATCTGGAACGTTGACCTTGACGCGTTCATGGACGAATGGAATGTGCAGCAAGAAGAAGAAACCAAGCGCAAGAAGAAGATTGCTAGCATGACCCGTCGCGCTTCCCAGAAACTTGGCATTGCTGGAGGCAAGGGTACCAAGGGAAAGAAGAAGAGAAAGATGGACGGCTCTGACTCGGACGCTTCTGACTCGGACTTTGGCCCGGCTAAGAAGAAGCCAAAGCCCAAGAAAGAGGGACTGCTCAGTTACCTTCAACAAGAACCTGTCAAGAAGCCATCAGCAGCAGAAGCTCTCAAGAGCAGTAGCGCGTTCGGCTCTGCGGCACCACAGAAGCAAGGTACGCTGCTCTCACATCTCGTGAAGAAGGAGGCAACACCGCAGACCGATGGAGCGTCGGATAGCAGGCCAGGCACTGCAGACTCAAAGCCAGCACCTGCGAAGCGGGGTCGCCCTGCTGGTTCAAAGGCTATCAAGAAAGACCCGGTTCCTTCGGATGACGAAGACTCCGACGTCTTTGCTGCAGTAGCTGCGGAAGCCGCCAAAGAGCCTGCGAAAGCTGCTGCCCCAGCTCGAGCTGCTCGAGGCGCAACCAAACAAGCGACCAAATACAACCTCGGTAGCGACTCTGACGATGACGACGAGGATCTCCTTGGCGACGTCAGCAGCATGGTAAAGACAATCGGATCTGGTACAAACGGCGTCCCAATGTTTAAGACGACAACTGTGGCCCGGCCAGGTAGCAATGGCAACCCTCGCTCTGGCAGTTCGGCTGGCATCAAAAAGAACAGCATTGTTGATGTGGACGGTGACACTACCAACTACGAAGGTCTAATGCCTCAGTCTTCACCACAGCGCCCTGCTCCTCGAAATGTCAATGACACTATCATGAGCTCGGATGATGATGACTTCAACCTCAGTGTCAAGAAACCAGCTGCGACTAAGTTGACTGCTAGACCCGCCCCGAAACCCAAGGCTGCTGCTGCCAAACCTGTACCAAAGCCGAAAGCCGTTGCGAAGAAGCCTGCTGCTCAGAGCCCAGCAGCGAAGGCTTACGCGAAGAAGCATGGCAAGGACACAGAAACAGGCAAGACCGCATCCAAGAAGAAGAAGGCTGCCGATTCAGATGAAGACGAGGACATGGAGGACGCAGACGATCTTGCCAACGACCTACTGTCGGACGAAGATGAAGACGAGCCAACTCCCAAGCCAGCTGCACGCGCACCTGCCGCTCGGCCTGGTCGCAGAGCTGCTGCTAAGCCGGCCAAGTACGTTGTTAGTGATGACGAAGCCGACTCTGATGATGCGTCTGAGCCTAGTTTCGATGACGACGATGACAGCGACTAAACTGACTAGCTTGATGGAGGTCTCTATGTACATGTGAGGGGGTGGTGGGTTGTTTGATACCTGGATTAATCAATGGCGTTTTTTTCTGAGATCAGGGGTGTGGCATACGGCTACGGATGCAGTGGTTCACATGGCGTTTGGTGTCGGTGCTTCATAATACGAGGTTTCCACGCATGCGCATACATTATATTACATTCAACTATATACGCGTAGTTAAATTCATGCGCTTTTGCATTTCTCACATGCTTGCTTTTGTATAGTGACCCGGTTCTATTGTGAGATGCAACAAGTATCTGCACGGTAAAAGACATGCCGGTTATATGAGGCCTGGATCTTACCAACTAGACATTTCCACAGCCTCAGTATTAGAAATAAATCCGTCACTGCGACGACAAGTTTTACACTATATCGAAGAGAAAGTACACACAAGAGTCCAGACCTTGATAGACGCATCCAGACTACCCACGTGTACATGCAACACAGAGCCAGCTCCATTCACATACCCGCTCACCCACTCTTCTTCTTCTTCTTCTTCTTCTTCTTCTTCTTCACTAAAACTCGCATAGTGTCCTAAAAAAAAGAAAATACAAATGCCTTTCTTTGCTCGGTGCCCTTGAGAGCCTACACACACGTACACGCATATCGCCTTGCTGCATAATAGCTGGTCACGTTGGAAAGCGAGGACTAAGAGGATTTGGGGAGGGGGGGAAAACAACCACGTTTGTAGTCATGAGATCACTTTTGGGGAGGGCTTTTCTTTATGGTGATAGGTGGTTATGTGTGTGTGTGATTTTAGACGGGTGGTAATGGGACAAGTAGAGACGGGGTAAAGAAGGGTGCGTAGGCATGGATGGAAGTGTGTTTGTTACAATATTTGCATAGTTGGGGACTGGGTAGAATAAGAAAATGAGGATAGTCAGGCTGAGTGGGGAGTGAGAAGTGATACATTACTTGTGGCTATGGGGAAGGGCATGCTAGGGAAAATAGGAAGGGCGGAGTGGAGAGCGGAAGTTGTCCCTGCACGGTCTAGATGTTTCTGGTTGTGCTCAGTGTCATGAGCTTCCCTTTACACTGTGCGACAATGGTGTGCTGTTCTCTGCCGGGGTGGGAATATGTGTGTATGTGTGGCGGAAGCACAGCCTAGGGATTTCGGACGGAGGGAAGCCTGAGGCAGCATGACAAATAGTGGTTTGTGAGAAATGAGAGGATGATGACACATATGGGCAGCGATAGCGTAGATAAGTGAGAATTGGGCAAAAGATAAGAAAAAGAGAGGTGTGTATCGGTGCACGCTGCGCGGGCAGATACATGGGATATTTGGAATACACAATATATGGTTGGGGATCTCAGTGGCATGGTGAAGAAGAGGAAAAGGGAAGGGGGAGAATAGTGAGGCATACTAACTTTTGCCCCATTTTGCTTCCAGGCCTGTCTAGGCCCTTTCTTTCCACTTTGTCCAACCCGGCTCTTGTGTTGCAAAAGACTCGCACCGTGACACCTGTCAGAGCTGTCAGGAACATGCCAATCCTTTCTTATTGGTACGTTGTTTAGCCAGAACCATCTACTGTACTACGTTGTCCTCTTTTTGCGCATCTGATCCAGAACGAATCCTTGGAGGGGGGCCAGGATCCGCCGTCCGGATTGCCAAACGCACTGTATGCATGCAAGTTCCCTATTTATGCGTACCTTTTTTTTTCATACTATCCAATTATTCGTGGTAGATGTGTTCTAGTCGATGGAAGTTCTCGCTCTGTGTCAAATCATGGGAGGCTGTCTTGTACACTACAAAGGCTTCCCAGGTCGATGGAGTCTTGTTCGGGCACTACTTTAGCCTTGTATAGTAGATGGGAATCGCTAGGCAGGCCATCCGCGTATCCGTTAGCCCAGGAAATGAACATGGTGGATTATTGTAGTGCCGATGACGGATATCTATCGTAAGTAGTACTTGTACGAAGAGGGGCGGGGTCAGACCTCATCGTCTCACTTGATTCATCCCTCACTTTTTCCATCATTGAGCGGATGCACTCGCATCCGTGACGTAGTAGGATACCACAGAGATTCTAGATGGCTACCTTCATTAACGGATATACGGGCATGATCAGACGAACCCCTGCTCTGCAGATAATATTGTAGTTCGTCCCACCCTGCAGAAAAACGCCACAAAGCTTGAGTTCATCATCACAGTTGTCCGGCAGAGCCTGCCCGAGGAGACGGGAGGCTCGCCCTCGATTATGGCACATATCCCGGTGCCCCCACGGAATGTGATGTGTTCAAGAGTCTGGTTCTTTGTGACGCCTGTGAGCAGTCGTTCCTGGCGTGACAGCGGGACTAGGTTTCTCCATGTGGCAAGCCGGAGGCGATGACCCAGGTACACTCTTGAGCATTACTCAGTGTAAATACAAGCTGGCCGTACCCACAAGTCAAGGAAAGAACAATCAAGAAAAGGGTCGTGCAGGCGTGATTCAGTGGGGCAGTGTGTTGATTGCGTTCAAAGCATGTGTCTCGCTACGCTGCGCGGAGCTTGTCTCAACGGGCCACCCGACGGGCACGAGGGATGGAGATTTTGACAACGTCGTCGCACGATATGCTGTAGCAGCGATGTTGGCGCGCCGTTTGAGCTCGGGTGCAAAGCCGAACATGTTGTAACATAAGCTTGAGATGCTGTGAGCAAACCCTTTACGCGTACATACTGCCCCGCTGTGCCACGCCCCTACAGGCATCCCACGCAATAAATTCGCAGTTGATCGAAGCATCCTAAATAACCAAAGCAGTTTTGCAGTCTTATAGACTTTTCAAGAGGCCATGGTGTTTGCGCGTTGTGTGCCAGATAAAGTTCTTCCTTCCAGTGCTCCGAAAAGTAGACAAAGATAGACAGGCATCGGAGGTTGTTGTGTCAACGAAGAGCTTGTATACATATGTATGTACTTAGTCATTTTCGGAAATGTTAAGCGACTCTTTTCAGTATACGTACCTACGCTGGATCTTTGAATGGCTTCAAAGAATTTCTTCGGTCTAGATTCATTGGTGCCAATTACTCGCAGACTTCAGTCAACCTAAAAAACCTCCGTTGCATGGCGACGCTAATCTTGCAGTCAAGAAGATACACATTCTCACATCGACAGTGTTGGAGACACCCAATAGTGAGAACTGTGACCTCTTGCATGATACTGGTGTGTATCCAAGCACGGAGAGTTTAGTGCGTTATGAAAAGTAAGCTATATTGCCCTCGACAACTCCAGTCATGTGAATCCACCTTAAGAGGTAGGGGTGATAAGACAGCTCCACGAACCGCGCGTATACGTGGGAGGAAGCCCATAGACTTGGCAATGATCCGCCTCGGAGACACTGGCACATATCGTCAGCTGTTCCGGATTCGGGCTGGCAAGCTATTCGCCCTGTGTTTGTCTAAGACACTGCTTCATTTACCGCTCAACCCATATCTCAGGAAACGCTATCTTGAGTCTGGTCCAATGGGTGTAAAATTTGCAAGGATAAAGTGCTCGGTCACGAATTTGTCTTGCTCTTTCTCGGTTCAGATGGCAGTATTGGACTCGAGTTCGATAAGCGTTGAGAATTGCCGCCGGCCAATCGTCCTGCCTTTGGCTATGTTCGTCCCTCAGCTCACAGCCCGTACTCGCATCACAGCGGCAACACCCGGGATGCCCCAGGTTACTTGGATTTTCTGTCATCCCACATTGACGGCTTCTGTGTAACCAACGGAAATGGAGAAATTCTGCTGTCTGCATGGCTATCGATTGTGCGTGTGCATATCCTGCGTAGTCTGACACTGTGCGAATGGCCTAGTGTTTCTAATGGCATCATGTTAGCAGCCAATAACATCGGCACTTCAAAGAGCCCTGTGTATGATTTCACGAAGGCGTTGTGCTTTGACCGGAAGGCAGAGTGAGTTGTTCGAATCTCCCACCGCCGGGGGCGCGCAGTGACAGCAGGCTCGGCGGTATGTATCCATGGCACTTCACATGAAGGTACCACTCCTGAAGAACTTGGAGAAAAGATGATCCTAGAAGAACTTTTGGATGTGCTTGGTCAATCAGTTGTTACGGCTTGCCACAGGCAAAGCTGCAGCTTGGCCTTTGTCTTCTTTGAGCGGTCTGTACTGAGACATCATCACCGCTCTTCTCTTTGAATTAGCACTCCATCAGTCCAACTGCATCCTCAAGTAATTGAGACAAGACGCTTTGTTGGTCGATGTCCGGTGAGGCACAGGTCAAGTGAAAGTTGGAATCTAAAAACTTTGCTTCGCGAGTAAGTGAAAAGGCTTGCATCAAAATGCGCCATGTCTCAGTATGAGGAAAGACACATTTCCAGACCGGGAAGTATGCCCTGACTCCCTTAGTGGAGATGTATGGTCGATGCGGCAAGCGAGCTCTTTTCTGGGTCATACATCTCGAGTATCCTTAACGGAAGCAAGGCTGATATCACAGACCGATAAAAGATGAACCAATCGATTGCTTCGCTGAATTCAGAATTGTGTAGGCGTCCGAGATACACAAAAAAACGGGCCACGTTTGCAACAAAAGCCAAGAAAGTACGTGCATTTGTGTACCGCGGTAGGCTGCAGGTAAACGCATTACCGATTCGTTATTTCACGCCATTCCAACAAGGTGCATGACAGATGGGCTTGCTCTTCTGAGGTAGCCATAGCCCGGGTAATGGAGGGCTAGTACTATTCTGAAGTGCGGTGGTGTTACCCATGCGTAGGAGAGACACTTGCAGCGTTGCGCGATCGTAGGTAGCCTTCTAGGGTTTCGCCTTCCACTGCCAGCATGACAAATCATTTTCTCTCCAATTGCATCTTGTGTTGACGGAAACCATGTACAGTTAACTGTGACTCTCAGAAAACGTACTGTTTCTCACTTAGCGTTGTGGTGGACTGGCGATTCGCGTTATTGTCATGGGCGTCCACGTTCCCCAGCCTATTGGAAATGTTTTTGATTGACATTGGCTGTTAGGCCAAGGGCATTAAACAAAGAGGCCGGACCGTATGTCCCTGCTAGGATGCAGGGTTCAGCACGGGAAGTGTGTTTGATGTCTTGTGACACCATTCCCTCGATTCATCTTGCACCATCGCAATGCCCAAAGCCCAGCACTTGTTGTGGGTAACGGTCGTTTGGTCCGACTGTGGGCCCGCCGTCTTGCAGCCTGTCAAGCCATGCAGTGTGCGTCCTGGAACCCAGGCACTCCCACCCACACACCGGACGTCGTCTGCACTGCGCTTAGGCAAGCTTTGGCGACGCAATTCGCTGGGGTGAACAGCTAGTGGGCCGAAGTGAAGGTGGATGTTGATCCGTTAAAAGGAACCAGTGATAGCACAAGTATATGTCGCTGCATTTGTTGTGCATTGGCTGTCTCCTGGAAAGTCACTCCCGAACGATCCTTTACGACACTCGAATTTGCCAGGAATTACTTTGCCCTACGAGCACGTCATTGAAACTGTACCCTTATCACATTCCGGTAAAGAAGGCCCATCCATAGCTGGCTCTCTTCGGTATCAACTGACCTGGCATGTCAAAGTCACCGGCTAGCTTGTATTGCTGCGATAACCCAGCGAACTTATCTGTTGGACACCACGCGAGGTCCAGCTAATCGCCACGGGACCGTACTGTTTGTTGAGCGAAGCCACCTGAATATCAGAGCTAGACCGACACGACCTGCACGCCTCTCTACCCACTTCCAGTCGGCGTTGACTGACTCAACTCACGAACGCAACAGGTGCGTCGCAACAGCCATCAGTCCCATTCTTTCGCGATGCTGACGATACCCAGGTCGATTACCAACGTGGATATATATTCCAACACGTCCTCGCCGGTAACAGGTATAAGGCGATCATCTAGTCCTCGTGAGCGTTTCGCAAACGCCTGGACACCAGTCTCTTCTTCTCGTTACCGCCGCCACCAAACTTCTCTTTACCCAAAGTCAATCTTTGTTCCACAGCAGCCCGGTTTTCCTATCAACTTGATTTTCGCTCTCTTATCTGTCAGGTACACTGGTACCCGGTCGTGAGCTTCCACGTCTTTGCTTTCGCCATTTCCAGGTGATCGCAAGCCCTCCGGAATGAACATACAGGACTTGCTGAACCCTTCTTGCGGTGATCGCCATGACCATCGCCACCCAGAGTCTCCGACACCATCGTCACACCCGGTAGCGACACTGCCAGCGCTTAGGCGACAAAAGATACCAAAGGATGCTCCAATATTTTCAGAAGGCAACAGAACCGTGGGAATAGTCAACTTCGCCCCTCACGAAGCGGGAAACGACGAAGAATTCCTTGCACAACACCGTAGATTCCAGATCTACCCGTTAGGTGAGATCTCAAGGAAGGGAGTTCGACACATCCCATATAACAGCGATAAGAAAGACTTTCTTGAGAAGACTGGACGCGATGCATTCGAAAGTAAGGTCAGCCTTTTGAGGTTGATAGTAGATGCTGACTTGCGTATAGTGTTCCAGTACACATACAAGCTCCCTGGTGAAGATAAGCCGTATGTCGTCGTCTGGGACTACAACGTCGGCCTCGTCCGTATGACGCCTTTCTTCAAGTCGTGCAAATACTCAAAGGTAAGTACTTGGTTCTACAACATTCGAGTAGGATACTAAGTTTTGCAGACGATACCCGCAAAGGCATTGAGAGAGAATCCCGGGCTCAAGGATATCAGCTATAGTATAACTGGGGGTGCTCTGGTGTGTCAAGGTCAGTCAAGTCAATCCCAGACTGTCCAGACACTCTACTAACATTTTGTAGGATATTGGATACCGTACCAGGCTGCCAGAGCTATAGCTGCAACCTTCTGTTATGACATTCGATGGGCGCTTACTCCTGTCTTCGGTAACGATTTTCCTTCGATTTGCCTGACGCCAGATGATCCCTGTTTCGCAAAGTTTGTCATTGACCCAGCCATCGTACGGTACTGTAGTGAGGAGACCACAAAATTCAGAGAACTTGGATCTGCGTATGAAGTCCATAGGCCGGTCGCCCCGACACAAGTGGAGGCACCAACGTCGCGCTCTGAACAGCCACCGCTCAGCGCCCGAGTTGTCAGGCAACGGCGCGCGCGGCCCGCAGATATAGAGAGCGGATATGGAACCGATACAGAGCGGAACGACAGGTATCTCTTTTCTCCTGAGGTATCTCCACGCACTCGCTTCACGCCCATCAACCGGCCACGCTCGCCGTACTCTCCCCGCACAGCAGAGTCTTCGTTTGTGAGCTCACCAGTCAGCATGCGTGCGCCTCCAGGATTGCATACACCGACATCGACTCCATATGAGTACTCTGGCGAGGTCTTTCGGGCAAAGCGGTCGCATTCCAAGGTGGCTTGTTGCGAGCATCCTGCCGATGAAGCTGTCGCTCGCCCTCCAACAGCCGCCACAGTCGACAGTGCACACGGATGCGAGATGTGCGTTGGTGATGATAACCACAGCCACTTCGATATGGACGCGGCAGAGATGTTGCTTTCGCTGCGTACAGCGGACAACAGGATGCCACCATCAAAGCGTACGCGTCGGAGCTCGTGATGTTCGAAACAGTGTATGCCAACTTCCTGCTTTGAGGACGGTGATGACTAAAGCACGGCGGTTAATGTCTTCCCTTTCCGTCTGCTCATGACGTTTGCTAGCCTTTCCAG